CCCACCCCCACCCCGCCCCGGGCCCCGCGCCCCGCACCCCACACCCCCGCCCCCGGCCCCGCACCAGCAGCTACCTCGGTCCCACGAGTGGTGGGTGTGGCCCCGGGGGGGGTCCGGGGTGGGGCATAAAACCCCATTTTTGGGCTTTAGCCCATGTGGTGCGCGCTCTCACTGCGCACCCCCCACTATTTTATTCATTTATTATTATTATTTTTTTGATTTTTTTTTGATTTTTTTTTTTGAGGGGGGGTCTGGAGCCGGGGTTGGGGTTGCCCACCCCCGGACCCCCGCCGGGGCCCCGGGGCCAGGGCTCGACAACCCTGCTCCCAGCCCCGAAGAAGCGATGAAAAAGACGAAGAAGCAAGGACACTGATGCAATTCTCCACAGATCCCGATCTCCCGTAATTGACCCAATCTTCCCAGCTTAGGACCCCTTATTGCAACCGCGCAGAAAATCGCGCATTACAAAAAGTGGTTCGTCACAACCCTGCATTGTGTCCTTCTGCCGCTGTCTCTCAACTGTCTCTCTCTCTCTCTCTCTACTGTCTGTCCCCACCTGCTCTCGTTGTGGCCTTCTACATAAGTGAGACCACCGAAGGAGACTAAGCCGGCCAATACATTACTCATGCTGGAACCGGGTCCAGCGTCCCATCTCAGTGCTGATCATCTAATCCGACCTGCAGTCTATCCCTCTGTTGCTGTCCTCGTGCTGACCATTAGGCTGAGCTCGTATTGAAGGGCGGGGATAAACAAACTGGGGAGGTGGCGAACAGAAGGGATCAGGGGTAGGGCAGGAGCAGGAGTAGGGGAGTCGCGGACCGCGGGGGCAGCTTCAAGTAGACTGAAGGGGGACACAGGGCGAAGGCTCAGATCGGTAGACCATGATCATGGGGGGGGGGTCTCTTCTAGTGCTAGTGGGTGGGGGGGGAAGGGGTCTGCAAATTCATGGGTCGGGCGTAACCTTTCGCCAGGATCGAGGTTTGTCCACTCATGGAAGATCAACTTATAATCTCTTGCTATCTCCGGTCGGTGTCCTTCTTGCACCACTCCTCCGGTCTGGTGATTTTCTGACCATCTCACCTCCGCCACCCATCCTTTTCTTTCCCCTCCCAACCAATCCTGACTGAATCGGGATATGATCTTATTGATGTCAGACCAGGAATTCATTTGGTCAAATTTATTTCTGGCCGCCTTCCATTGGGCAGCAATTTCATGTTGGACTAAAAGGCGCAATTGTTCTGTGACTTCACCTTCTTTGACCCGCGCCCCTTCCATTTCCAAAATGCATCGTTTCCACCAGATGACCCACAGGACCGCCCGCCTGCCCAGATGAAACATGTTTTCCACGAATGTGTCTCCCTGAATTGGGGGGTAGTGTCCTAGTAATATGGCCCTCCATTCCCATGGCCACTCTGCCCCGGGGACAATGTGACGCCAGATTCTGTCCCAAACCCTCCAAAGGAGAACCGAAGCCGGGCATTGGAGGAAGATGTGTTCGATTGTTTTGGCCCTTTTCCTCCTTGGATAGTTCAAAGGGCAACTATGGCACCAGGGTAATGCCCGACCTTGCTGCTCCAGACGGGTGTGATCTATCAACCAGTCATTTGTTGGCAGGCAGCGGCGGGCAATTTGCCACTGAAGGGCCGAAACCTTAGCGGGTCTATTCCTAACTTGAGTGAACCAACGGATCGGCTTGAGCAAGTCTCGGTCCACATTAAGATGTCGATACCACCTGTCTTCAACCGTCTCCCGCAATCTACGTTTGGGGCGGAGCATACGATAGACTGATTTCGTTTTTAAAGTGTGCAGTGTTAGTGGTTTTGTCGGCCTTTGTCTAGTCGTGACTACCTGGGACCAATGCCACTCGTCGGGGTCGAAGGGGAGATCCTCAATCGGGGTGGTTGGGCGGTAGGCCCATCATCCTCTGCCATTTTCCAACACCCTGATGCGGTATATGTTCGTTTTGTCCATCCAAATAAAAGGATCCCGGCTGCCCCGTAAAGAGCCATCCCTTTGGATGGCGAAAATCTCAATCAGGGCCTGTGTTTGGTCGACAACGTGTACTTTCCCGACCTCCTCCTTAGGATCGGGCAGGGCCACCCAGTCAACTTCTCTCAATTGAGGGTCGTTTCGAAGGATGCTATACCACTGGAGGGGGAAACTTTCAATCAGGTCCTTTAACGCCGATTCCGTGCGATGGCAGTAGCATAGCCATGCACGCATCCTTTCTACACTCTTCCAACACCTTCCTTCTATGTCCCACAGATCCCCTACCCGACTGGCTCCATGTTTAACCCAACCTTTCCAAGGGGCGTCTGAGCTGCATCTAACCTGGCCCAAGGTATCCGTAATCAGACGATTCCCAAACAACGGTTGTCTGAAAATTTCTTGCCATCGATCCAGACTGGGTCGGTCGAGCAACGGGAGCTTCCTCCATGTGCGAAGTAATGGGTCGGTCAGGCGGTGGGAGCTTCCTCCATGTGCGAAGTAAGCTCAGCCAATATGTGCTCACCGGGTCCCCAGTCTTGTCTTTCCTTGGCAGCTTCCAGTATCTGTCTTGTAGCCATACCAGGGGGTCAATCTCCGGGGGGGCCTCCGGTGCTAGGGCAGCAATTTGTATCAGGGCCAGAGGGGGCCAGGGGTAGGACGGAGAAAAGATGATGTGCTGGAGCCAGCGAAGTGTGAGCGCCTGGGATTGAGTGGCCGGGTCCACAATCCCTAGTCCTCCCCTGGTCTTGGGTTGAATCACTGAGTCCCAAGCTACTCGACTTATTGCGTGGGGGGCATTATTGTCCCCTCTTCAGAGGAAGGGGGCTAGTTGTTGTTTGAGCGACCTGAGCCCCCCTTCGCTCATGGGCCATACAATCGATTTGTACCGAAGTGTGGCCAGAACCACATTATTAATGACCAGGGCCCTCCCAAATAACGATGTGTGTTTTTTATTCCATTGCTTTAGTTTGGCGTTTGCTGGTCCAGTCAGCCACTCGTCGTTGGTCGCCGGCTTACCGTTCGCTGTAAGTAGGGCCCCCAAAACTCTCAGTGGGTCTTCCGGGGGGAGCCATGTGATTCGTGGGTTTTCAGGGGGTCTTCCTCCCTGATGGTGTAACGACCAACCTGTAGTCTGCTGCCCCCAATTTATTGCCATATCTGAAAGCTGGCAGAAGCGGTTCATGAGACTTTGGACTTCTTCCATGTTACGGTCCGTTGCTTCTACCATTATGGAAAGGTCATCAACGAAAAGGGAGCAGATTGGCACCGCCTCGTCCGGGATATTAGTGATTTGGATACGAGAAAGGTTCTTGTGATGCCTGAGGTTGGCTGAAAGTGCTTCCATTATTACCACAAAAAGATAGGGTGCGATGGGGTCCCCTTGTCTTACAGACCTCTGAAGCTCGAAGGGGGGCGCTATCGACCTGTTTACCTGCACACAGGTGGTGGCGTTTTGATGAAGGATCCTAACCTAACGTCGAAAGACTGAACCAAAGTTCATTCTTTCCAAGCATTTATCCAGGAATGTCCAGTCAACGTGGTCGTATGCTTTTTCAAAATCAATGAATATAATGGCCGCGTTCGCTTTATTTCGTTGGGCTAGTTGGACCACCTCGTTAACTAGTAAGATATTTTGTTGTATATTTCTTCCGGACATGAATCCTGTCTGGGTCGGGTGTATGACATCTTCTAGGACGGATGCCATACGATTCGCCAGTGCTTTGGAAA